AGGTTGACACTGTAACATTGTAATGTTAGCACTACAAACCATGCAACCTTTTAGGCTTCCTATTATCAAGATACACTGTGTGCAACCATCATTAAAGGTTTATCTGTCATTTCTTCCTCAAAGGTCTGTGAAACAAATGTTCAGCCAGTTTCAAAACTTAATGACTTTAAAGGATCTTTTTTTTCTGAGTTTGTAAATATCAAAACCGTATGACAAATGTATTGTGAAACTCCAGCCCTGTTCTCATTCCCAAGTTGTGAAATACTGCTGCTTTGTCAGTGACTTTGGCATCAGACACCTGACACCAAAAGCCACCTTTCACAGTGGTATGATTTGCCACTGGCCAGCGTCAGATTGAAACGCTGCTAGTAACGATGTAAAATAAGGAGATGGAAGCGCTTTAGGGCAGGTGGGAGGGTGCTTTCCTCTGGGAGCCCGGTGTTCACTTCCCATGAATGTAGAGCCAAACCATGATGTTTTTTTTCCTAAATCTAACCATGTGCTTTTGTTGCCTTAACTTAACCATGTGGTTATGTCAATGTCCTGGTACTGGTAGTGGCGTCCCAGAACATCAACAGCAGATGCTAGAGGATACCTAGTGCATAATGTGTAGACGTGAAAGGCCACTGACAAAGTGATGATATCAATCAGTCAATCAATTTTATTTATAAAGCCCAATATCACAAATCACAGTTTTCCTCACAGGGCTTTACAGCATATGACATCCCTCTGCCCTTAGGACCCTCGCAGCAGATAAGGAAAAACTCCCCCAAAAAAACCCTTTAACGGGGAAAAAAATGGTAGAAACCTCAGGAAGAGCAACTGAGGAGGGATCCCTGTAACGCCCGCCAATGTAATAATGTCCACAAACGTAATAAACCACAAACGTAATAAAAATCTGCAGCATTTAATGTAATAAACCTACAAATGTAATAAATTTTCCACAAACGTAATAGCCGCTGCCTACTACAAATGTAACACGGGATTTCCCACAAATGTAATAACTATTACTGTATGTTTGCAGGGATTTATTACGTTTGCGGGGAAGTGAAAATCTT